TCACAAGCTAATCCACTGAAGAGGAGAGAAATAATGATTAATGGGCTTTTTTTTTTCACCTGAGTAAGGTAGAGTCCTGGTTAAAATACTACATGGCAATGTAGTTAAAGGTTATTTTCTAATGCATGTGTGTAAGTAGGTTAATTACCATTGCACATGGAACATTTCTTGTGATATTGCCTACCTTCAGAGTATTTTACAGAGTAGATAATATGATGGTGGTGTTACACACTCATAACTTCCTAGATTTAAAGCACTTATCTTTCTAGATTGCATTTAAATATGAATTATATTGATACAGTAATCTTCTCAGGGGTGGAACTGCCTTCAGTTTGCTCCCTTCTTTCTATAGCATAGATTTCTCCATTTCAGTCAGAAACAGAACTAATGGCACTACTATCCTTAATTATATTGGATAGTCAATAAAGCAGTCATTGTGCAGCACTTCCGGTGAAAATGTTAAAAGCATTTCTTTGTGACTTCAGAATCAGCTTCAACCTCAGTTCTTCTCTAGTCATTACTAGCTGCATTAGTGCTGTCTTAATTCTTTTTTCTCCCTCTTCATTGCTTACACCTGATGTTTGCCTTTCTTGATTCCTTATTCCAGAGTGTGCCTAGCTCAAGTGTCTTGTCCAAGTGTGGTGGCTTTCTCTCCTTCTGGGTCTTCTACTGTCATGTTTGTTCTCTACCATCAACAGTGGAAGAATTTAAAGTACTTCAGAGAGATGCTGTATTTTTGGTTCTAACCAGCACTATAGCGATAAAAATAGGTAGTTAAAGCAAGTTGTAGAGAATGTTCTGTGTAGACAGATGTGTTGAAAAAATTTTATCTGTGTCCTTGTTGGCTAATGTACATACAGAAATTTTTCAATGGCCTCTTATTGTGTGTGCATTTCGATAGATTTGCACAAGAACAATAGTAAAAGGTACAAGCTGATACTAAGGCCTCCTATCACATTTCAGTTACTAATTTGAATATATGAGGCGGTAGTAACTTTTTTTTTTAAGTTAGCAACATAGAATATTTTTCTCTAACCTTTTTTTTCAGAAATGTTTGAGTAATTTCTTCTGAAGTTTCCTCAAATATGCTAGGCGATTGTATGAGAAGGTAAACTTAATTTTAGCAAATTTTTTAGCAATTAGAAATGGGGAATAATGGGCAACAATTATCCTCAAGCTGTGTCTCAGCTTGGTGCAGGGGTTTTTAAGTGTTATTTTAAAATATTCTTAAATAAAATTTGTTGTGCTCTAATAGGATAATTGTGTACTGTTAATTAAACTGCTTTCAGTCTTAATATGGAGGACTGTGGTGCTTAAAGGCAGAATTCCAGGCATATTAGGTTTACTTTAAATTTTAAGCAGAGCTTTGTTTCTCTGGAGGATCAGGGTCTCAGTATTTGCTAATAGTTGGAGAAAACAGCTGTTTTCAGTTACAGGCAAATACAGAAATGTAGATTAGATTGCTGAAATATGAAATTATAATGGATTTTTGCTTACAATAATATTGCTATATCAAAATGATAATCTTGGCAGTATTTCTCTAGACATATTTGAAATTGGTTACACCCATCTTTTGGCTACATAATGCAGGGCTTTAGTTCATACGACTGAATTATATTTACAGGGATGATGCAGCCAATTTCCTTGTTCCTGCATCATCTGTTTCAAATGACTTATTAGCCATGTGTTTATTCTTACACACTGGCTACTGCCTTTTGAAATATATAGTTCTTCACCATTAAAGGCTGTTTCTTCTGCAGAAAACGAAACATTTTGCAGTTGCAATAGATGTCTCAGGAACTAACTTCCAGGTACCTAGAAAGAAGTATTGTTTTAGTGATCAAGTCTTAATGCTGAAATGTTTACTGTTTTGCTTATGGATTACAACACAATACTGCCATGTTAGGAAGGATTAATAAAACAAAATGTTTCAATAAAGCATTTAAAATTCATTTTTTATATTGGAAAAATAATACTTTTTTTGCTAAATACTTAATCTAAAAATTGTAGTCTGTATGGGAGTAAAGATAGGTCCATCTGGGCCAGTATCCTGTTCCTGATAAGTAAAGGCTAGGTAAAGGAGAGAGGTCATGAACTAGGATGATACTAAGTGAAACATCATAGGAGCACATCCCCAATCTCTCAAAATGCACAGTACAAGTGGGGTCATTGCATTTAATAAACATGGTAATTTTTCCTTCCATGAATGCTCATTGCTTTTTGAATCCAGTGTAACATTTTAATATCCGTAACATTTCATTGCAAGAAGTATCATGACTGAAATTTACGCTGTGCAAAGAGCCACTTCTGATGGTCATTTTGCACTTGTTACATAGTAATTAATTGGGTATCTCTTGGATACTATAGCCAGAGTTCTTAATACAGCAGTGTATCAAAGATATTCTTTGCTTTCAGGAAGTCTTGGAGTGCAATGTAAACTTGTACATATAGTGTACATATAGCTAATAAGCATGCAGTTCCATATAAAATTTCTAATACACTTTTTTCTTCTGATACTAAGTATATGTTGCTACTGTATCCTGTTTTCAGTCAGATTTGCTATGCAAATTTCAGCTGAGCCTTGATCAAAGACATTGGTTTGTTCTAAAGAATGCTTTAAAATAAAATATGTATCTAGGTTGATGATTCGTTGCAGCCCTATTTTAAAAGAACAACATTAACATGGAAATGGTGATGGGCTTTTAACTACAAATGTGCTGCCAAGCTATGTGGCAGTGATTGCTCTGTATAATACATTTTGTAACATTATTTCAGGTAGCTTAATTTAATCTGTTTGTTGTCAGGCTGTATCATTTGTGGGAGGTTTGGAGTTTGGGGCTTTTTTTCCTACCTTCCTTAGCAAGTTGACCTACTTGTATGTTTTATAAATAGTGTTTTTCTCCTTTATTGACAGTCTACCTACCTAAACTGAAACATAGTATTTGGCTGCAAACTTTTTCAAATAGTTTGTTCTCTTGGAGGTTTTTAATATGAATTTTCAATTAGAGCAGGAAAGCCAAATGGTGTAGATGTTATGATAAACAGATGGGAGATTTAAAAGGTAATAAAATACAAATGGAATTAGGAGGTTGGATATTGAGCACATGCTTGATGTCAAACATCCGTTTAATTTTCTTACTAAGAGCTGGAACCAAGGGTAGCCATTTTTGATACTTCCTTTTCCTTTCTTAAAAGGAATGGAAAAATGTCAATTGATTGACTTACTTTATCTTCTAGTTTTAAACAAGGTTAAATAAAAAAATAAAAATATTACTTTCCTTCAAAGGTGCTGAATAAAATGTTTTAATTATCAAAACACTTGTTTGGTAACTAGATGTCTTTACATTTGATTTCAGCAAGTTATTGTTGTAGGTTAAATTTGTAATCTTTGTGCTTTTTATGAATAAAGTATAATGGAGATGCTGTATCACTTCTTCCATTGAGATGGAGAATGTTAAGTGGACCTAAGTTTAAATTGAAATACTGTTGTAATACAACTGTGGAAAGATAATCCTATTGTAGGTGTTACTGTATAAGAAAACACTTTGTTGCAATACGTATTTACTTTTTATTAAGTAAAACCTCAGCACATTTCATCTTTTTTCCATATTTTTTTTTTTTTAAATGAGTTGACAGGTCTGGTGGTTCATTTTACCACCAACCATGGTATGCTTTTGACTTACTGTTTTGTAAATGTCTGTTTTGTCATTTCCACATGCAGTTCTGACCTAACTCAGTCCTCTTCATAGGTTTTTGTAATTTATGGTGTCTCTACTTGTTTGTAGTTTGCCTACAGGGTCAGTGTTGGCATTGTCATCTTACTCAGTGCTTACATGTTAGTCTTGGTTTTGAGAACATCGCTGCATCCTTCTTTTTATGTACATTATGTTCAAGTCTGCTACAGGCTTCTGTCTACATACAGTACATTTGCTACCCTTGCACAATTTCACTAAATGATGTATAAATAAGATAGAAATGCCAGCTATTTGGTACTGAGTGGAATGCAGACTGGTTGCTTTTTATTTTCTTTAGCTTCTCTTTTAGTGAATACAGAGCGGTAACAAATGAATGGAATTATTGTTTTGGCTTGCTTTTTCTTAGAGGTTTGGAATACTCCTTAAAGGCTTTTCCAAGTATCAACCACTTAATTACTCTGGAGAGTGCTTTAATCATATTTTTGTCCAGTGTCAAGTAGACTATATTATGTGCAGAAGTTTTCCATGAAAGATTTATTTAATTTTCAAATTTTGTTTTCTTTTGTATTTAGTATTGTATTTTAAATAGCTTTGGGGTTTTTTTCTGTTAGTCTGTCATTTTATTCATTGGAAAATTAAGGTAAAGTTTTGTAGGAACACTGCTTTCAGTTTTATTACTTAACAATAATTTGCAAATGGTTCATTTTGCTCTGGTTTGTTTACAGTTCTAAATGTACACTGTTAAATTTCCAAGGTAAAAGTTTAATTGAAAAGATCTAACTTGAACTAAGAAGCAAAAATGCATTTAAGATTTCAATGCTGTACAAAGGACCTGATCTTAAAACCAAATAAGGTTGTTCTTTTTCACAGGAAAATATAATGACACGTGTGCAAGTTACTTGCTGTATTTTGAGAACATTTGCCACATTGTTTATTGGTCGTGATTGTGAAGCATTAACGTAGCAATTATTTTGATAATAAGTGGTCAGATGTAAAAAGCTTTATGACAACTTGCTATATGACTTTGGCATTAACTAGCCGCTCGTTCATTTTGAAAAAGTTTATTTCCGATTAAAGTTGCCTTCTTGCATGAAGTATGTAAATCTGGAGCCTGTCACTTCCTGTGATTGCTGGATTCAGCACATGCTATTGAGAGTGCCTTCTTTTCAGAGGCTTTTTGTATTCTGCTCATGGTGTTTGCTGAGCAGGAAATGTAGCTAAAAATAACTAAAATGCATTTCTCTGTCTCTCTTTCTTGCTGCAGGATGACGTAGCTTTGCCAAGGATTTATCAGCTAAGCAGAAAATGAGCTTAACATCCTGGTTTTTGGTGAGCAGTGGAGGCACCCGTCATAGGCTGCCACGAGAAATGATTTTTGTTGGAAGAGATGACTGTGAGCTGATGTTACAGGTAATTGCATCAGCCTTCCATGGGCAGCTGCTCAAATTGTGAACTTAATGCCCCAGTTTTATATTCCTTTCGTAAATGAAGTTTCCCAGGTGTTGGAAGAGTGATTGTTTTGATTAATTTTGTGTTATAGAAAAAGTTAGTTTAAATATATTGCCATCCATCATACAGTTACAGTTGAAATACAGAGGATCACATTTTCTTCATATAAATCATATAGAGAATGCAAGAATAGACAATGAAATAAATTTGCAGTATGATACTGCTGGGTGCACTGGATGCTTTTGAAAAGACCTTTTTTTTCCCCTACAATTTGTAATCTAATTTTTATCACATGATTTGATGTAACTCTATCCCCATGCCCTGATCTTGTACAAAGGCAAATGAAATTAGTAGAGAAGAATATTTCTCTGTCTCTAAGGAAGTTGGATGACTCAATCTCAGTAATGATTTCAGGGGAACTGAAAAAATGCAAGTCTTAGCCGAAGTACTTTGATACTTTAGTAACTTCCTCAACTTCCAGGATCACTACATAGAACTTGTAGAGGTGTGTAACTGTATCGTTATGTAGCCATTATACATATTGCGTGCACTTTGCCATGTCTAAGCTATAGATCTCTGAGCTGTTTCTTTTTAGTGTATATGTTTTTGAGTGGTTAATGGTAATATTTTGGGAGTGTCTTGTTTTCTTCTCTTTGGTTACTGTAGAACTCTTAAGAGGATGAATTAAAAAATTAATATTCTCAACCCTTTGTACCATTCAATATCACATTTTCATTTTTATTTTTTGCGTATGCAGTAATTAATGGCCAAATTGGAATCTCACTTGGAAATGAATTGCTTAGAAACCTATTTTTATGTATATTACTCAAATGTAGCATCTTGAGTATGGACTGCATTTGGTGTTCAGTCTCAGAAGGCATCCAGAGTTTTAATGGTTGATGGAAATACTTTGTCTTCTTAGAAAGTAGTTGAAAATACTTGTAATATCCCTTTAAGAATAGGCAGCATGATGTCATACTGATTTATAAGGGAAGTATTAAAAACAAAACAAACCACAAGAAAACACACACAAAAAAAAGACAAAATATCCAAAGCAACCAAAAAACCCCACCCACATACCAGAAGTTTATAATAAAAAAATACTTTTATTTTACCACTAGCTTGTTTTAATGTGTTGTGACAATAAAGGCTCAATAAAGGAGCCTTTTCTTCCTTCTCTCTTTCCTATGCCATCTCCTGCCTGTGTTTAATCAGTTCTTAGAGTGAAGAGGAAGATTCAAGCATTAATCATTTTGTGTTACAAAACTTCAGGCATCATCACCTTCAGAAGTAACTGTCTTTGATTAATATTGTAGAACAGATTCCAGAAGTATAGAGTTTTTTGTTATATATTGACTTCAGAGGTAGTAAGAAGAATCAAGGGGCCTGATGATTTTCAAGAATATTCTCTTCAGCCTACTGTTACGTTAAGTCTACATGCCAGCATGGCTGTTAACACCACATACTACTGAAGGAGGAGGAACTGGCCAAAAGAGAAGCTAATAATGTGTTCTTGTTCTGTATGTATAGCTCTTTGTGTAGGACCTTCCTTTTTACTATTGACAACTTGGTTGTTCTCTTACTGCAAAGCATGTGGACAATGCATGATAAAGAAAGCAGAATTTAATGCTTTTATTCATAGTCATTTGACAGAAAATGTTATAAAAGTCTTTTTAAAGGCATTTCAACTTCGTTGCATGCTTGATAGAATTAGACTTAAGATACATACCTAACAACTGTTCTTCTAACAGAGGTTTTGTTCGTATCTGGGAATACAGATTTACTTAACTGAGTTATTTTGTAAATATGCTCAAACACAGTGTGCAGTCTTTGTATGTAGCTAGCTAGCTGATCCAAAGCATCACCCTGCTTGAGGATAAAGACCACATTTTCCCCTTCTTTCACCAGTATGTTTAGAAAACTTTTTGAATCTTGATAGGGCAATAATCTCCAAGGAGAAAAATTCTACATTATTCACTATTCATTATTATAGCACTTACATGTGAATGGAAGGCTGCAAAAACAAATCAGAAGGAAAAATGGCATTGGAAAGATTTACACAATCTGTGCACCTGTAAAGATCGTCTGCAAAGAATAAAAGTATATCCAGTTATATCCAAGTAGTTTGAGCTTGAGAACCTTAATGTTCTGCAGAATTTCAAGCGTTTCTCTAAAAGCCGTAGACATGAGTAATCATTCTTACCATTTCAGAAGATAAGACAAAATATCATGAAGCTTTAAGGATCTTTTTATGCCCTTTCTATTTCAACTTCTTTTAATAGGCAGTAGCACATAAAGGCAATACAATAATTGATTGCTAATGCAATATGTATTTGAGTAATAAAATTGAAAGAAGTTAAGAAAATTTTCCCATAACTTAAACAAAGATAGGATTGTGATTGTGTTGCTGCATCACTTGAGTGTAGAAAATTGTGATCTCTAGTTGACTTTATAGGCTCATCAGATCACCCACATCAGTTAATTTGATTTTACTGAGAGCTTGTTTTCACTTGAAGGAAGGTTACTAAATTAGTAGAAAATTAACTGTACTGGTATATCTTTACCATTAACAACACTCAAGTGATATAGTATACTAGTGAAGCTTTTACTGGCATGGACCTTGTTGTTTGCCTGTCTCTTCCTTAATTCTCCCCTCCTCCTTTATATAATTTTTCCCCTTCTATACCCCTTAAAACTGCAGAGCAAATTGGCTTAAATGCATAGTCTAAAAATAGCATAGTAAGTGTAAGTAGAAGAGGACTGATTTAGGTTTCCTGAGGAGAAGGCAAAGCTGTCAAACGATGGCATGGAAAGGAACAATAAGGAAGTAAATCAAAAAGGAAGGAAAAGAATATTAGCAAGTCTCACAAAATTAGAAGGAATGAGATGAAAAATGATTCTGAAAACAGAAGGCATTTCCTTAGGAGTCATGATTGCATTTTCTGTTGCTTTGAACTGGCTAATGCACCTGAGACTCCTAGAATTGGCAGACTGCAGGTACTGGTACAGAAAGAAGTACAGAAGCCTCAGGCAGAAATTTACCATTCTCAGTGTTTTGTAGTCCTGAGCAATGAGTTGAGCAGCAAGGACAGAAGATGTGAACCTGAAACTGTAAAGAATGCTGTTGGAAGAAATTTACTACTATGCAATCATGTCAGGACATGGCAGTAGCAGAACTACCAGCAAACAGACTGAGGTCAAGTGTGCACAGCAGGGAGAGATGAGCTGCGGACTCATTCGTTTGGGAACTCTGTTCCAAGGTGCTGACTGCATGTGTGCTTGAAGGAAGCATACATGCAGCCCTGCCTCTTCCTTGCCTGAAGTCAGCACCTCAGGTTGCAAACACTTGGGCATGGGCAAGTGCTGAAAGAGGGGCTTAACTGTTAGGTAGGTGGTGTTCTCAGAAGAAATGGTAATAAGTATTGTTCCTGATCTGTGGGTTGGCATTTGGATGTGAAATAAAGAATTCAATAAAAAAATAAATGCTGAAGTACTTAAAGAAGGATAGAGTTGGAAGGCATCAGAACTGATGGTAATAATAATTCAGGAACTGCTCAGGCATTTAGTGAAGAAGCTAAAGGTGATTTGTTTAAGAAATGGAGGTCAAGAAGAGATAATTTCAGTGCTTGTACAATTATGATAAGTATCTCAGACAAGATAATGGAAGATTTATTGATGCATGACAGAAAATTGTTTCGAAGAGAATAGCAATACCCCAGAATCATATTCATACTTTGAAAGATGCATGTAGTTAAGGAGCAAGAGAATTAAAGGTGCAGTTGAATCTGATAGATTAAACATCAGTGATACTATGGTGAGCTGCAAAATAATCTTTGGATAAGATATGTCTGCATTTGACTTAAAATCCCATTTGGGGAAGCATTAAGAAAATAATTATTTTGAATTAATTTTGGGATTTTGCAGTGGGCAGCCAGGGCTGGAGTTGAGTATGGTTAGAGATTTGAGTTTTTTCATGTGTGGGACTAATTATTTTTTTTTTTTATAATTTGGATAAACATACTACGTAGAAAGGAAACAAACACTGCCTTAAGAAACAGCCATTAATGCTATCTTGATCTGCTTTTTTAATACCTTCTTAATATTATTTTTTCATATATTTTAGTCACGAAGTGTGGACAAGCAACATGCTGTACTTAACTATGATGCTACTACAGATGAACACTTGGTGAAAGATTTGGGCAGCTTGAATGGGGTAAGTTAATATCTGCAAGGGGTAGCTCCCTATTGTCTTTTGTATGTTTATTTTGGGGTTTTTTTGAGCAAGGAGGCTATGACTTAACAAGTGTACCTTAGTATCTTTTTGATGCAGGATTAGAAATGAGGAAACATTTGATAAGGAAACATATTTTTCATGGGGGTTTTTCACTGCATGTTATTTGAAGGGCTGTTTTAATTCCTTTGCTAAAAGGACCTTAGCAGTAGGAAAAAACTCAAAAGTATAAAAGTGATATGTTAATCTTCTGTATTCCAGAACTATAAGACAAAAATATAATCTTGATTATAATGTTAAAAAAGGTATTTCGATCTCTAAGATTTCTGTTTAAGAAAATTATTTTTACTTCATATGCTATTCCTTTTTATTCCTTTTTTTTCATACAGGAAATAATGTTAAACTGTACCTAAGTATGAAATAACCATGTTGTGTGTAAACCTACTTAACTCATTCCATATTTGCATTTAGTTTTTCAGTATTCTTTCTGTCAAAATGTCTATGAATAATGTGTGGCAAGTAATTACAAACTACTACAGAAAAATCGTTTAGTTATAAGTAAAATAAAAGTTCCGTGTGACATTTCAGTCTTCAAGGCTTTTCTAGGAATTGTGTATACAATATTCTAGGTAAGCTTCACCTTTTTATAAATGTTTTAAAATGTTACAATGAGTTATTAAAAACTTAGTAACTTTTCCATATTTTTGTAGCCCTTTAGGTACTTCTAAGTTGCTTATACACACTAGTATGAATGCTATTTTATGTATTTTTAAATGTTTGGCTGTGTCATTGTTTTGCCAATCGATAGGGTCAACAAAAAGGACACAGATACCAACAGAAGGTGTAGACTTAGTTTACTGTATATTTCAAAATAATACAAAAAGGTGATCCAATTAGTCAAAAAGATAAGCTTATTATACCCTAGTTTTAGGCAGTTAAGAGAATAAGCAGGGTAATGCACCTAATCATTGCTGCATAAAATTAGCTATAGTGATTAAGAAAGATACATCACCAATTGCCCTAATAATCCATTATCATCATCCAGATCGACAGTTGCTGGGGAGCCCTGGTTGTAGTAAGGGTTTGGAGAACCTGTCCTGGCAATTAGGAAGTCCTGCGCAGTGTATCCATTCGTAGGGGAGGTCTCCAAAGTTGCTGCAAGAGGGTACAGCCTGTATACAGTTGAATAAACCATTTTCAAAACCTCAAATATGGGAACATCTGGTATCACACTCCCTGTTGAATTATGCTCAAAGTCTGGCCAGGGCCTAGGGAGAAACCCAAGGAGGGGGGCCTGTAGATGGTATCTCTGTCTTTTTGGCTTTAACCATACCTTTCTCAACAAGGCCAGACGTCTGGTTTCACAGCCTTGCAGCATGCCTCTAAATAAAGAAAGATCTGTCTGCTGATTACTGTTACACAGCAAGCATGACACAAAAGCTTTATCAATTTTCATTAAAAAAAAAAAAAAATGTATACATGCACACATACTGCTGGATTGTGAGCTTCATCTAGAGGTTAACTTTGTCTCAGGATCTCTTGTCCAGGTGTCAGAACTTCAGTCACTAATATGTACAGAATGAAATAATGAGTTCTTCTGTAGTTGCTTATTTTAATATTTAGAAAGTACTGGTAGTGAATAGCTTTGCCAAATGTTTAAAAAAGGAGAAGATGAAGAAATCCCAAGTTACTGCCTGTTAGCATTGATTTAGGTTTTGGTGTTTGATCTTGAAGTGCATTTCAAAATGAAGTCCCGGTTAGTCTGTCTCTGTTTGTTTTTTCTTTCTTTTTTTAAGGTAGCTAATTCAGCCTTCCAAAGACTCAGAGTCTCTATACCATATGCAACCAGTGTAACCTGAAGGGTTATATCCTTTGAATAGCTGTAAACATATAAGAACTTTGCTCCTTAAATATTTAATACAGCACTGTATATTGAAAGTCAGTAAATGCACTATTTCAAGGCAGTGATCAAAAATTAATTCAGCACATAGTAATTTTTTGCTGAGCCATTTGATTTTATTCCCTAATGCTATAGTACTTCTCTAGTCATAAACATGCCTTCAGATTTTCATTGCCTCTGATAAAGAACTTGAATTTAGTAAAAAGATATGTCAAAAGACCTTCATTTGACTCCTTTAATTGCCTCTGATAAAGAGATTTCTGCTTTGCTTGAGCTGATTCATTTGCAGGTTTGAGTTGTCAGTTGCTATAGAGCTGTTTACCCACAGACATCAAAGGAACTCTTTCTTCCCACAGTTTTGGGACAGGGAATATTAAGTTTTAAGAGTTCCGTGTTTGCTCTTTGTCTTTACAGTACTTGCCTTACTATCTCTTCCCAACTGTGCTTTTCTTACATACCTTTACCTACCTGGTTTCAGGTCAAAAGAGAAAGCATAGTTTTGTAACACCAGAACAATATATGCAATGTCTCTGTACCATGTGGTGAACTAGGCAGTAATTCTTTAGCTACTATTTCCGCTGAGAACACCACCTTCCTAACAGTCAAATCACTCATTAAGCACTTCAGTTTCTACCCATCCTTACTTTGCTGGTTTAATTGAGAGCAAATACTTATTTTGGGTTTCCCTATTTCTTTGGAGAGCAGATGTATACTTTTCTTATTGTATGGTACTGCTCCATTCCTGGTGCAATGCACTTTAACCACTCAAGATATTTAAAGAGGAGATAGCTTCTACCATTACATAGGACTTTTGAGTTTTGTGAGTCCCAAATACTTTTCATGAGATGAACTGTAATTGCACCTGATGCTCTAATGCCTGAATATTTTTATTTGAATGGTTGATCCACACTCAGTTCAGTGACAAGGTTACACCAGTCTTCATTCTAAGACTTAGTACATATAGCTTTGAAAAATAAAGCTGAAGTTAATTTTAGTCAGATTTACATGATATAAAGTTGTATTTCTAATAATCCATCATGACTTCTCTTGGTTATTCCTGATTGTCTTTCATTTCATACAAAAAAGAGTAAGGAATTTCTCTTTTCTGAAGAAAATGTGTACAGTTGCTAAGATATAATCTATTGTTTAACCAGCATCAACAGAATTCAACTGTATTTTTTCCTTTCACCTTGTGATCTCAAAAACATGCCATAATAATTACCAAACATCACCGCCCTGTTGATTAATATCCTTCTCGGGTATATGTAGGATAGCCAAGTGCTTTAACACTGTGTTTTATGACTGAATTGCAAAATGCTCAGCAAACCTTATGAAGGCTTAAACAACATTGACTCTCCCTACTTGAAAAAGAAAGCTTTTGAAAACATGAATATATAAACATGTGTTTAGAGTGATTTTACAGGGGAAAAGGATTCCTTATTTATGCAGTAATCAGCTTTTTTAAGATAGCTTAGCCTGGGTGTGGGATTTTAAAACTCCAGTGGCAAAGCAACTGAGGTTTGGTTGTTGTATGCCATTAGTTCAGTCATGAGGATGTCTCAGACTGCACACATTTTCAGAGTTCTCTGGGTTGAGTATACTGCATGCAAACGAATTTCAGAAGACTGATCTGGGAGGTAGAATGCATATATACATATATACATATGTATCTGCAAGGTGGCCTGAATTTCAATGGTACACTAAAATTCAAGCTGCCTTGAGGATATTCTTCACATGTTTTTTTTGCTCTGGATGCTCACAGTGTTAAAGTGAAATAAGTATGTATTAAAAACCACTTCAAGTTCTCATGCTTACAAACCAGTACATAGCTGTGCCTTATTTCTTAGGGAAGATACTTTCAATTAAGCAGGTAAGCACATTTTAAAATAATGAAATTAACATTATTTTCATTTAGAAAAAAAAGCAACAACCAAAGGAACCAACCCTTTACTATCTTGGAAGGACATTGTTTCTGCATTTCCAGACTTCATCTAATACTAGTTGAGCAACACAAGTGTTCAAAGGTTCAGATTCTTGTCTTAATTATTCAAATTTATCTTGTGTGTGTGTATGTGCCCGTAACTTCAAAGTGCTTAAAAATTGCACAATTCAGCTGCTGCATTCCTGAGAAACATGTATATGTTGTAAAATCCTTATGTTTGAAGTAAGATGATCCTGTGAGTTTCTGACACACGAAGTCCCCAAAACCGGCACAAGCAAATAATACATTTATTTCAGAAAGGCAGCTCAGGTATTTGAAAAATTAGCAAGAAGCTGTAAAGATTTTAAGGCTGGAAAATATGCAACTGATAAATAATTCATACAATGATACATCAGTCTCATACCAGCTAATCCATAAATATTTTATTTGCCTTGAATTTGCCCTAAATGAAGTCTTCATTTTGAATTTCAAAATAACACGAAGTAAGAAACACCAAGGAACAAAAGACTGTACACGGAGGATGCTGCTTTCTTATAAGTCTACGTGTTACATTCTTATTAAGTAAAAGGAGAGGAATATTTCAAGAAAGCCATGGAAGAATGTAGGGGAGATGAACTTTAGGGTGTAAACTGTAACTTCTTAATGCTGATTTTCATTAAGCTTTGATGAATAGATTAAGGCAAGATGCTGTGCAGACTTTTTTGTCAGATCACATTCTAGGAAGAATCTTTAAGGATCTGTAACTCTGAAAGTGTCTTAAATATTATGCAGAGTTACATCTACTGTTTCCTTTTTTCTTTGTAACCTGATGTTTAGGTTTAGTAATCAAGACCTTAATACTCTATTCTGCTAGACCAAGCATGTCTTCACCCTTTTATATTTCTATATTACTGAGTGAATTCAGAGGATGCCAAGACAACATAGTTTTCTCTGAAGGTACCAAATTCAGATAAGAATTCTCTTTCACAGTTAGAAATTCAGCCTTATTTGGAGAGTTCTAAGAGCAGTGGTATTACATGGGGTGAGCAGAAGGGTCAGTTTTAGACCTGTCACTGGAAGGTGGCAGACTCTGGGAGAAGTCTCTATCTAAAAGTTTAAGCATCCCCTCCAATGACAAAAGGACAAGTTGGGAGAAAAACACTCTCACTTCCTGACCCTCACTCCTGCTTTATCATGTTAGCATCCTTGCTTTCTGTTACCTGAAATCACCACATGCAACTCTGAGTCTTGCTGATATTAGTAACTTCTGGGCAGTTTGATGTCAGCAGCTGATGCTGACAGCCTACCTTGCTAACACTGTAAATCACTCTTTGAAGATGCAAATCAGTTCCTGGTTCTTAAGTCTGTTTTAGAATTTTATGTTAGTGACTTTCTTGAATTTTCTTCAGAGCTTGAGTAATTTAACTTCAAGACGTTTTTAAGTTAATATTTTTTTTTCCAACAGTGATGAAATTGTTTTCCAGCTCTTCCAAATTACATATCTCAGATCCATTTTTACTTGAACATGTATTACTCTTCCTCTTGTTACATCTGTAATTAGTCCTTGTATTTATCTCAGGTGTTCTCTTGAAATTAATACTAGCATATTTTTCCAAATCAGACCTTGAAATAAGTGATTGATTGGTAATCTGTACTGCCTCTAGCAGCCAACTGATATGGCTGGTGAAATTTAGCAAGCTTTAAGGTATGCAAGTCCTTCTCCCAATCACTGAAAGCTTATCTGATTTCTCCAATGTTTTCAACAGTGGTTACAAGGAGAACGAATTACTTACTGCACAGTAACTGAGTTTTCAAAATCTATTGTCAAGCATATGAAGTTTGCTCTGCTTTGCTGCTAGCTGGTATAGTAATGTTATTTCAGCTTAAAAATGTTGTTATACCTACTCTTTCAAGAGTTGCAATATATTGAATTCTTCATTACTGGTTTTTGGAGTTACTTGAATTTACTAACTTGGTCCATTTTTTCTTTATGTCCTTTGACAATGTTTAGAAATTATAAGCTACCTCAGAACTTTCATATCCAATGTTAAATGCTGTACAAACGTGATGATAAATCAATTCTGACAACTAATTGGGGTCGAAAAAGAAAACCAGAAAAATACTGAGTGGAAGTGCCAATTAGAGGGAATATTTATCAACAATTCAATAAATGCTTCTAAGAAGATTAAGCTTGTAAGAAACTTTTCAAGGCCAGTGTGATGTCAGCAGCCTGGTTAATAACTGGTGTTTGACTTTTTTATTTTGAAATATTTGTGAAGTAGGTGGCAATCTGAGCTTATGTTTTAATTCCCCAGTGAATCACCAGCAGAAAATCTGTGGTGCTGAAAACTTTCTTATAAAATTAGTTTTAAAAAAAACAAACAAACAAAAACCAAAACTAATGGTCATTTATCTTTTTTTTATTTTGGAATTTAACAGTATCTCTTTCTGTTCTCATTTCATTCTGTAGACATTTGTGAATGATGTGAGGATTCCAGAACAGACATACATCACTCTGAAGTTAGAAGATAAATTGAGATTTGGATATGATATCCTTGTCATGAAAATATACACTTTTCTTATTAAAAGTATGGTTGTGTTAAATGAAGGTTCTTAGACTGTTGGAAAAGCAATTTTCTATACTAGAGAAAATTGCAGGGTTTAGAATATTGTACCTTGGTCAGAATTATTGAGAAAGTACATTTCATTGTTTTTCGCTGCAAGAAAACTCTAATTCCAATTACTATTTAAAGCCTAATGTGTAACTTCTGTGTTGCTAAGAAACATGGCTTTTCTTGGAGGCAAATACACAAATATTTGTATATGAGGTTACATACAAGTAGAGAAGATTACAGCAAATTACTGAACAAAATAATACTGTAATAATACAAGATTAATGTATGTACTCAATGTTCTATTTACAAATATTTAATAACTTTATTGTACATTTGCTTTGCTTAGTGTGATTGTACATGCTAGTCCAAAGGGTGACATATATGTAAAGCAAGTGTCACCATTCCAGTGGCAGAATACTCTGCAGAACTGTCTCTTTTCTGTAAAATCATTTTTGTGAATTCAGAAATATTTCCAGTATTTTCCTTAGCATTTCCTACATACTAATCTTTTTACTGTTGTCAGGGGAGAGATGAGAGTCCCTGAAGAAGCACTTAAGGTAACAATGTACAGTTCCTAGATGTATAGTAACTGATAATAGGTTTGTTTTTTTTTCACTCTTTGAGGATATTTTTTTCTCTATTTATTGTCACGTAGCATGAAAAATTCACAAGCCAGCTCCAGTTATCCCAAAAATCTTCAGAGGCAGAAGGGTCAAAGCAAACTAGCTGCAAAAGCTCAGAGTCCAAGGTAACAGACTCCACAGCTGAACTGCTCCATAAAACTACAGAAGCACTGAAATCTGAAGAGAAATCAATGGGTAAGGTTCACCTTTGCTGTGGAAGCACACAAACTTGGAAAAGATCTTTATTTGCTTTGTTAGGATGTTTGTGAAATTATATAGATAGCAAAAACTCACATGTGAAATTCTGAAATTACTGTAAGTGTGCTTAATAAATTTTGTCATTGAATTTCTGTCTTTTATTGTAGTAGCCACATGTTAAGAAAACTCATAAAGGGACCTTTAACAAGCATTTATCCAATTTTTGCATTTCTCTTTTGCAAAATCACAAACTTTCAGCATTTGTGGCAGGAAAGTGTGCTATTTTTTGTAGTTTAACTGAAAATATTTGTTCAGGAACAGCTTATAATTTTTACCACCACCATTGTCAAGTGTGCTCTTGTTTTGTTTTTTTTATATAATTTTTTAAAATTAATTTTTAAATGGGTGATGGGTTAATTTTATAGATGATAACATCCATTGTTAAATATATCAGGTTAGAACCACAGTGTTGTGGTTTAAAAAATTGTGGAAATTGTAGCTTTGGTCTTGTTTTTACATCACCTTTCATGTTTATGTAATGTGTTGTGGTGGCTCTGCTGTGGGTGTCTCCTTCATTGTGAGACTTGCTAAAGTTTATTGTTCATCTTTTAATAACTTGCTGTGTTCCCTGTTACTATAGGAGATAACCACAAGAGTGAGAGAGGAATCGGGTATTACTGCTTCCTTAGTATGGAACTGATTATGTCTGGCTTCTTAGGCAAAGCTGTACAGTTTTGTTTAGGTTTAATCCATTCTTCTGGAAGTGAACCTTCAGAGTTCACTTCCTCACATAAAGAAAGCCTTTCCAGTACTTCAGTGTTCCTGTTCAATATGGCTTTTCAGCATTTAGTTCCTGTTAGAATTTCATAAAGGGGCACAGTGGGGGGCTTTTTATCCTCATCTTCCATCTTTCTCTTTAGTCTTTCAAACATAACAGTCAAAGTTAATGATAGGGTTTTATATTTGAGTGCAACTCTTAAGAATCTTTTTGGGGAATGATTCTCTCACTGTTGCTGTATTTATGCATAGCTGTTTACTATTGCTAATTCAGTGCACAAGCATCAGCTATCAGGTTTTTAATTGAGTATTGACTAAAGTTTAATGCTATTTTAAAAATATGTACTTAGTATCTTCAAATCATATTGAAACTTCTGGCATGGCTATGAAATTATATATAATTTTTGGAATGACAGTGAGTAAAACATTGAATAAAAATGCTGAAATGCATGATAGACACAGTAACAGGCTACAAAGCTGGATTTGAACAAATCTTGTTATTTTAGATAAAGACTGTTTAAAGTATTTTCAGAACATCTGTATGGTACTGGAATAGCTAAATCTGAGTAGCATGAAGTATTCTTCCAAGAGATCAGGTCAAAACTAATCCAGTCAATTATTTATGGTCAAAACTAATCCAGTCAATTTATAATAAATGTAGAATTATTTTTTTTTATCAGTGTGTTTTTTCTTGTTTAATCATGTGTGTACATCCTTTGTAAGGAACAGTATTTTTATTTGTACTGTAATTTAATTTTTGCCTTTTAGTGAAAAAAAATTAATTAAAAATAGTTGTGCTCAGTAATGTTTTACACAAGGTAACTTTCAGCACTTTGTAGGAGCTGTCAGCAATTTGGAACCTTGGCAACATTGCAAAATTTGATCAGTTTTTCATGCACTGAGTTCAGATTTCCTTGAAAGGTCAATGTGGGTAAAAGTGGGAATCTTCTCACAGAAATGGCAGTGGGCAGCTTTTAGGAATGTACTGCCATGCTGATGACTTGAAAGTGAAAGCAGAAAATAATGTTTACAGATATATCAGGGTAACAATAAGAAATGTCAGCTGCCTTTGCACCAACATTTGCGCCAGAAGTTTTGATTAGGTCATTAGTAAGCTTTTATATTTAGAACCCAGATCAGTTATCCAGCCTCCAAGTTTGTTTTCTATTTCAGCAAATGCTTGCAACCACTTCAGCTTCCAGGAGAAATGATTCAAGCAAATTACTCTCTCTTCATGTTATTTTAACCTAGATCTCACAACTAAACAGAAAAGTGTTTTTTTTCTGCTTTGGGCTGATTTTATAGATCTTTCTGCCATGCCTCGTGGGACACCTCTGTACGGACAGCCGGCCTGGTGGGGTGATGATGAAGCTGATGAAAAAAGTGGTTGCAAGTCAGATAGCAAGCATGAAGAAAAAATCCATGAGACGGGGGCTTCTGGTAAGTCCTTTTGTCTTATTTTTCTGGGGTTTGTTAAATGCATATATTCTTAACTAGGGAACTGAACAGATAATGTTTGGAAGTTTCATAGGCAGTTTGAAGAGATAAAAGCTTATTAAAATCAAGTTAGTTTAAAAATACTTATTCTGTGAGACACTGCATTTCCGGAGACCAGTTTCACATATAATGTATCAATTTTCTACTATATAATACAATTTGTTGTCTGTAAACATACTAAATAATAGTACCTGAACCAGTGTGTCTTATCAATTTAATCCACATAGGTGATTTTATATGCTCAGAGTTGGAGATTACACAGGGATATTTTATCAAAATAATTTCTGAAAATAAATTATACTATATTATCTTTGTATTTAACTTTTAGCTATATAAGGTGATCTATGCTAACATTCTCTCTTGTAATTCAGTAATGCTGCTGCACTCCATAGTTCTTGCAGTACAGATTTGCAAAGTCTAAAGTTAAACTGGTAATGTTTATTTCCCCATAATACAGACTATTTTTTTTTAAGTTAGTTTTTCTATGCACGGTATGTATTGCCAAAATTTAAATCTCCTCTAAATCTACCATCTGGCATATATATAAACTGACTGCTATGCTAATAAAGAGAATAACCTTAAAAATGACTTGTATTAGGACAAAGTTCAACTGCATTTGTATGTCATGTTAAAAAGAAAAAGAACTAGTTTTTTGCCTTAGGGTCGTGCCACTGGTAGATTTAGTAGCTGCAAGATTCTCCTTGCTTTCTGGATTACAGGAACCATTAACTATTCTCTATGAAACCTGTGACTCTGTAGTTTACTGTGCATGACAAAACAGGGATGGTGAAGTCTCGAGTATTTGTGTTTTTATTGCTTAGATACAAGCTAATATAACAAAAATACGACTTTGTCAATATGCTTTCGTGTCTCTGTCTGCATTGTTGTTTTTTTTAAAAAAGTGTTATTTGCCCTCATTAAATATAGGATTATTAAAAAGCAATATCATGAAGCCTGTGGTTTTTATACCATGCCATTAACAAAGTATGAAACAAGTTTCCAACTTCTATTTAGGACCATACCTGTTTGTTATTTTTTCATAAATTAAAATTGCCTTTTCAGAAGCAATGTTGCATCAAATGGTTTACATGCTTTTGTATTTATTTTACCAAGAGATTTTTCAGAAGGTGATCAGTGCATCTGTCTCTGTTCCTGAGCTCAAAGAAAAACTTCCTCTCAAACTAATCAAGGAGGCGCAATCTGTTTCAGAGGTAGACAAAAATAAGTTTGCTCGAGACAGAACTTCAGTAATGAGGATATTTTTGACATTCTTTGTCTTATTGAAGTCACCTTAAGGTAAATGATGGATAGAGAATATGAGCTAATATTTTCTACAGTGTTTCACTGATTTTGTTTGTTTTCCATATATATTTAAAAATAAAACTTCAGCACAGAGCCTTCTTGGCAAATACATTTCTGATTTTTTAAATGTGCAGTATGTTTGAAATCCCTTTTGTTGATGTTGTCAATGCTTATTCATTAATTTATGTCCTCTGATTAGAATTAATCTAAGAAGAGTGTTGAACGTTTTATTTCCTCAAACCAAAAGATTAATAAAGTGGCAAGAATGATGTTCAGTTTGAATAAGCACATACTGAAAAAAACCTTGTGTGAAATGCTATAGGAAGGCTCTGCTGGAAAAAAAAACAAAACACTGACATTTTTGCAAAACAGTTTAATTTGGGAGGATGTGAAACTAAAATCCCTTGTATATATAAGTGATTTATTTATCTTGATCACTTAATCTCTGAGTAGACATTAGTTGTATATTTTGCTAGTCTGGCTTTTGACTGTTGTAGATGTTTTTCAGTAGTGTTGGCAAAGAGCCTGAGAAGACAGACCAGATAAGAGTTGACATTTGCCTCACTGGACACATTTCCTCAATCTTAGAACACTATGTCAGCATAGAAGTGTGCAAAAAAATATTGCGTATTTTTTCATACAATTATGAAAACAGGCTTTTTGGGCCTCTCTGACCTACAATTACATTCCATGAGAACATTAATTTTCCACAGATTATTGTGTATTACTTCATGCACTTAGATTTATAACAAAGATTAATATAATGATTGGAAATCAATATGAATAAACAGTTTAATAGAAGGAAATTGGAAACTTCTCAAGTTTGTCATGTTTGGATATTTTCTATATAAAAATGAACTTCAATAAAAAATGTTTAAGATTGATGCAGCTATTCATTTTATTTCATGAACTAAATTGTATTAAGTATTTAAAACACGGATTTGAAACGTGCTTCTTAATATAAACTGTCTAAAAGTAAGTACATTACAGGTGAATTCACATACAAAAGTTCTTAAACATTTTGTTCAGTAACTCAGATCAATAAAGCCTGGTATTTTAACAAATTAATCCTAGAACTATCTGCTTCATGCTTTAATGATTTGATACATGATTATTCACTGAATAGAAAAGAAGGCCTATATTATAACAGATGAGGCAAAGTTTTAATGAGGAGATTGAAATTGGAGATTTGTTTCTGCTAAGCCAACTATAGACAATTAGACATTACAGTCTCAAGTTAATAAGATTATTTCAATGTTACTGTCTTTCTATGACAGTGGGAAGTCACTAATGGAAATTTTTTGCAAGCAGAGCAGAGTAGCCAGGAAAACTTTAGAAAGGAAAAACCCTTTCTGCTTTTTTTCAGACATGCACGTTGCTCTAATGATCTGTAGATTATCTAGTCCATATTAAACTGAACAATTGCACACACAGCTATAGTGTGGCTTTATCTATGGTGTAGCTGTTAGACTTACATGTTAATGTCAAGTTTCCCAGGTGTGTAATTTTTATTATTGCCACATGTTAAACTCCCACTTCTTGGTAAAGGAAAAACTGCATTCTCTGCTGCTTTCATTAGTAGTTTTAGAATTGTACATCATTAAAGCTTCTGCCAGAAATCTAATATAGGATAGAAGTAAATTTTTAAACAGGCTTTAAGCATCTGAAGTAATTTTTTTCAATTTGTCATGAACTATTTTTTAATTCCAGCCCTGTGTAACAAAATATCAGATTAAATGTTTCTTACACTTCAAAAACAGTCATTTTAAGGTTAAACAGGCTGACTATTATTTTAGGAATTCCAACGTAATCAGTATGTGTAGGAGATAACAGATATGTTTAATCACTAGTATTAATGTTAAAGTTCCTAGAAGTTTATTCTAGAATTTTGCTGAGTTTTGGACTGGAATATGTGCAAGTGCTGCATAAGGCTTGCTTTTCTAATTATAATTTCTGAGATTATTCTAGTAAAGCAGCTCATTGAATCTCCATTTGGTTAAGCCTAATTTCCCAAATACTATGTAGTTTCCTTCTTAGCCTATCCTAGACTCATTATTTCATTAATAGTCTCATTACACTGTTGTAGCAGTTAGTTATTGCTTTTTTGCTTGCCTTGTAGAATCTGATGCACGGTTGTCTCTTGTAGCTCTAGACCTTTGTAGGATAAGAGTTATTTTCTTTATGGATAACCTGGTTCTTTTTCTGCCACTTTCCCTTCCCTCTTGTCAGTTCAGAAATCTTTTCAGTTCCTGAGAGGATCACAGTTCACAACCCGTCCATCCCCTTGTTTTCCCAAAATATGGTTTCAATTCCACACAACTGCATTTTATTTATTTATTTATTTTCTGTGCAGCTACTATGCTTGTTCTGCTTAAAAATTATAGACCAGTGATGACCACTGTCTTCAGTATTTGCTTGAGGGTTTTCTCTTAAAGCTATCTGCGTATAGTCTGAGATGTGATTTTATTCATCTTGGCAGATGGCTTTTTATAGTAGGATTACAAAGGTAAGGCTATTTTATAGATCACTCTGTAATATTTAGAAAGCTGTAAGGACTTAAATTTAGAATTTCGATGAAAAATTCTGAAGGTTGGTTCAGATCAGGATCTGTATTAATTTTTTGTTTCCTCATTGTTTTCAAGTCTGTATTCTAATCAATTCTGATATATTTAAGTCTTCTAAAAATGCAAATACTTCAGGTCAAAAATAGGATTTTTAAGCAATTAACTAGATTTTTTCATTATATAATTTCTGAGAATTTTTCTAGCATAGAAAAATTTCCAATTTACTTGTAGTTTAGTTTCTCCTTCCTTTCAATTAAACTCTTTCGTAATTTGTATTCAAAGAATATTATAGCATCTGCTTAATCAAAAATACTAGAATCAAATGCTGCCCCTATCATTACAGTATAAACATTTGATTTCAAATGTTAAATTTGGAGCAGGAAAACTTCACAGGGAAATTTTTTTTTTATGAAGTCATCCATCAATTCTTACAAGCCAGTTCTACAGATCCCCTCATCCTAAGCCTACGATACATCTGATACAGTTTGCCTACAATCTTACAATTTTCAAAATATGGTGATCAGAAAAATATTGTTTATTTTGTTGCCAGTACATTGGCCTTATCTGGCCCAAAAGTAGAAACATTTCTCAGAACATACTATATTCGGAGGTCCCCTCCAGCCCCTAATATTCTCTTAGCCAGTTATCTTTTGAAGGTGCATTGAAGTCGGTATCATGCTTCATTAACAGTTACAGGAATTGCATGAAATTGTAGGCTTGAAGCTTTAAATAGAGTGATAGTGAAAAAATAAAGGTACATATAAAATGGATTACTGTTGGATTAGTCTTCTGCTCAATGAGTGTTACATACTGCAAGAATCCTGGCTGTAGATTTGATCCTACTAGAGCGCTATTCCAGCTTGTTAGCTGGATGAAACAGAGAGTGATAGTAGTTTGCTTAAAATCTAGTATCTGCAAAGTATCAGTTTAGATTATTTTTCACATTTTCTGTCCAAACATGGAAGCTTTGTTAATGACTTTTGCATAAGTAAAATAGATTCATTCTGTATTATTTGTCTGACAGCATAAATGTTTTCAGAAAGGAGACTGAAAAGGCATCCCAGGGAGGGGAGTAGTGAGTTGCTGTTGAAGGGCCTGAAAACTGCACCATAGAGATGAGGTAGCTGATAGTGCAATGAAAAGCCTTAGATAGGGTATTCTTGAAAAGCAAAGAGCACAGTATAAAAACTGTCTGAATTCTTAACACCTTTTGTATTTGAAGCCATTATTTTATAAATTAAAACAAAGGTGTTACCTGCGTCAGAGTTATTTTATCCTGTTGGTATTCGAGCATGGCAGTAATAAAGAATGTGTACTATTTTTGTTATTGCTCTATCACATCATGCTTTTTTTTTAACATTTCCAGCTGTTACACTCTCCCTTAGTTCTATTTTTCTGTATCTAATTACCAGCTTTTTTCCTTTTAATTTTTAACCTTTTCCTAAATCTTCACAAGAAACGTGTTGGTGAAGGACAGCATAGGCACATTATGCTGTCCTGCATCCTTATGCCCTGAACTCTTGGCTCCAATATAAATGTTCCTATTGCTACTTTATTGCATAATTTCATACAAATGTTAACTGGCTCAGCTGATACAGAGTGGCTGTTTTTAGCATCAGAACTGTATTAATTGCATTCTTATTCCTTTACTTGGCAACCTAAAATAATTTCTTATTGTGGTTCATGAGAAATCACATAGGAACTGTTTGGAATTCTTTTGCTGGAATGTAACTTGCCATTGCTGCTAACCTCTCTTGCATCTGTTGCTTATAGCACATCCCTGCATCCATTATTTTGGCTAGCTTACTTGTTCATGAAACCCAACCAGAAGTTTCTTTTCTTAAAGGCACTTTGGTAGCTTTGCTGCAACCACAAGAAGCTTTAACTTTCAGTCAGGCTTTCAATTCAGTGGGACTTGCAATTAATACCCCATGCGTTTACCACATCCTGCTTTCTTTACCCAGTTAGAGCATGGTTTAGTAATGGTCTGCATGCTTCCAGCTATTGTTACTATTACTTTTCATCTACAACTTATGGAAGCAAGTAAAATAAGAGCAGATGACAATAAGATTTAGCTTGATTTCTTGGTTACGTCTTTTGTAGAAACATGAAGTGTTTTAATTCAAAAACACTTTCCAGTGCTTATTAGTGTTAAACTTTTCAAGCCAGAGTCAATGTTTATCTTGCATTAATGTGTGAATAGTTTTTCCAGAGAATTTTAGCAAACAAAATTATACAGCTATACACTTGCAGCAGGTGAGAATGAGATCACTAGAACTTTATTTGGGGGCACCTTGATGTGATGTTTTTCCGATATATTTAAATTACAATAATAATAACCTCAACTGTTTCTATAATGTGATGTTTCTGTATTCCATGTGCTAATAACTCATCTGACCTTTACATCATCTTAAAAACTTTAAGAATGCACATTTCTTTTAACAAATTCTAAGTGAGCTTTTTGCTACTTTACACTCCTTACAGCCAAAGTTCATCCTGTCTTTTCAGAAATAGTTTTAATATCTAATTACAGAATTGTTCTTCCAGAACTACATTCCCTCTGTCTTCCCCACAATCTTACTGTTTATTCCAGAAATTACTTAAGTCATCCTTATAGGAGTTGGGGAGCTTCATGAAGCTAATGAAGATCCCTAGTATTATGAAATCTATCTTTTATTTTTCTTACTAGGATGCAGCACAGATGCCAAGCAAGCTGAGGAGCAATCTGCAGCTGCAAATGAAGAACTTTATCCTTTCTGTAGGGAGCCAAGTTATTTTGAAATCCCTACAAAAGAATTCCAGCAACCTTCACAGGTACCAGAGAGCACTATTCATGCCATTCCAACAAAAGACACCCAAAGCTCCCACGCAGCAGGTGCAGGGCATGCTTCCTTTACCATTGAATTTGATGACAACACTCCAGGAAAAGTCACGATCAAAGATCATGTTACAAAATTCACATCGGAACAGCGTCACAAGTCAAAAAAGCCTTCTTCCTCCAGTGGTCAGGACCTGCCTGGGCTCCAAACAGTGATGATGGCTGCAGAGAGCAAAGTAGCGGATTGGCTAGCACAGAACAATCCTCCTAGAATGATATGGGAGCCAACAGAGGAAGATTCCAAAAGTATTAAGAGTGACGTTCCAGTGTACTTGAAGAGACTGAAAGGTAAAATGAATCATTCCAGCCATGCTTATTTCTGAGAACAACAGCATCCTCACCAGCATCCAGTGAATGGATCCCTGTGCAATTGTGGAATTCAGTTGAAATCACAGATGCTCCACATGCATACAAGGATCTGTGCTGGCAAATTTTATTATACTATTAAGTCTGAAAAAGAGGACAGAAAACCAAATCCTAAATCATCTTACAAGTAGGCTAATTGGAGATAATCTATTACAGCTGAAAACATGAGGTGTTTAAAACATTTATCTTGAAAGCAAAAAGGAAAAAAATAAAATCTTAGTTAAATTTTATATATTTCACTTTTTCTTATGCAATACTTGAAAAGGTGAATTGCTCTTTAGAATCAAAGCTCTGAAGTTCAAAATGTGCTTTTAGCAGCTCTTCCAATAACATATGTTCTGTGAATACTCATGTGCTCTAACAAAATAATTTATGGCAAGGAACACATTCTGTAGTTATTCCACTTAAATCAATCATGTATGATAGAGTCCAGTTTGAGTCAGGAACCTGAAATAGACCAAGAGCTTCAATTTTTGTACCAAGCTTGCAGGATATTGTGTATATAAGAATGCTGCTGTTGCATGGAGTTCTGGGTTATTATGCATGTTCTTTTACTGCACAGAGTGACACTTCAAATAAAATTAAATCAAATGTTCAGTGTGAAAAGTGTGCTTTCTTTTGAATGCCACTAGCAGAATAAAGAAGAAAGTAGTTTTGATCTTCAGATGGGTGGTTTTGATCTTCAGATGAAGATTCCAGTGCCATTCAAACTTTAAAAATTAAAACTTTTGAAGGTCTTCTTCAAGTGTCTCAATTTTTTTTTAATTTTTTTTTTATTTCAGCATGTTAACTCCACAATTCCCACTTTTCTTGATTCTGCAACCTTATCATGTCTAGCTCTGAAACCAGCAGAGACTGGGTACAGTGTGCTTCGTGTTACTGATCAAAAGTCTGCTTTTAAAGGCTAACTCTTCCAAATTAAGCTAAAAATTAATTTTAAAATAGAATTATATCAGTGTGCTAGTATTAAGAAAATAACACCATATTCCTTCTATAGTATGTCACAGAACATTCTTTGGTCTTCATGATGCTGTTTTATATACATATACTTGAACATTCTATAAATATTAGCCATGTTACTTTGTCAAATAGAAAGGGCTTTTTTTGCAAGGCCTTACCCTTTTTGTGGCAGAAGCTTTGATAAAATTTCATCTTTGGGAGGTGTAAGTTATGGGGCACCTGTAGTCAAAATCAGTAGCTGAATTTTGTAGTCTTCTGTGATCTGTTTGTATTCTCACTCATTATTTGTACTTCTTCAAATCATAAAGATAGAGAATATACCTAGCCACTTGGAAATCTAAGAATTACTTTTTTTCCCCTCAGCTTTTTCTTAAAATATTCTGCACTAAAGTCACATTGCTGAAATTATGTGATATGACTTTCACTGTTGTGTTAATATTTATTGTTATTTATTGGAAATAATGTAAACCCTCACATCATTGTCTTCGGTAGAGATAAATTACATTCCAGCAAACAGGAATGTAAATCATTATTTCAGCTGTGTATTCACTGCTATTAGTGTGATAAGTAAGGTTTGCCAATATGTGATTACTGTTGCACTGAATAGTAGCTGCATATCCTAGCTAAGCATGTGAGAAAACCTTAAGCTATTATTGAGAATGAATAACCATAGTAAAAATAGTACATTCTATGTATACATGAGTCAGACATGATCCAAAAGAGTTCAAAGAAGGTGAAACTGTTCCTTTCCAGGAACCGAGTTAAAACTTAGAAGTGTAGACATTTAGATTGTACATAAAATTTCTCAGTGCATGAGTATCTAGCCTTCCATGCATTTTCATATGTCATTACGTAAATATATTTAGAGGCATGGATGTGATTTATTACCTACATAATCCTTCTTCTTAGATCTCAAAGTAGTTTGTGGAACAAGTAATAACCATTTTACATGCATACATCAGATGCTGAGGGGAGTGAATGATGAAAAAACTCGTACATCTTAGAAAGAGTAATAAAAAATTCATTCCGATTTGCAGTAGACATTTTTCATGATAAATTGTTGTATGAGGAATCAAACAATATGAACTGTAGCTCTCAATGGATATTTTCAGTTACTGGAAGGACTGGTTTAGGGTTTTCTTTTTCCTTTTAACCCTGCCTGGAATGTTTCAGTAGTAATACGTCATCAGCTGTGTAACAAAATTAGTGTAATTGGGAAACATGCAGCTGGTAAAATTCTGGGTTTTGTAAATCACTGATAAGTATCCACAGATGAGAATTTTGGTGAAGAGGGTAATACAAATGCACTGCTGTTGCCAATCAGCTTCTAAAGTGTTTCATTGTTTGACTCACAGCAAGTTGAATGTGTTACCAGGTACTGAAAGCTATTGGAGTCTAAACAAAAAAAAATATTCTTTCTTAGTTTGCCAGTTTCATTTTTAAGTGTTGGGTTGATGGGGGTTTTTTGTTTATTTGTTTCATTGTGCTATATATTCTTTTGCTTTTCTTGTAGGGAATAAGCATGATGATGGTACACAAAGTGATTCAGAAAATGCTGGTGCCCACCGGCATTACAGTAAGAGGGCAGCACTCGAGGAACATTTAAGGCATCATCATACAGAGCTGAAAAAGTCACACCAGAAAGTCCTTTCCACAGAAAAGCAGCAAGAGCAAGCCAGTTTGAATCAGACTGCCTTCATGATTGAGTTTTTTGATGAAGACCATCCTCGAAAGAGACGTTCTTACTCTTTTTCACAGAATGTAGGAGCTCTGTGCCCAGAATCTCCATCTCCAACACCTCATGCCCGAGCTGAAAGAGTGAAACCTACATCAGGAGAGAAAACAGTCCCTTCATCTGTGCAAGCGAGTTCATTGCATCACAGAGCAGTACATGGTGTTCATGCAAAACTTCTAAAACAAAAATCAGAAGAACCCTCTGCTGCATTACCTGTCTTGCAAGCTGCGTTGTTAAGGAGTTCGGGAAGCCTTGGCCATAGGCCTAGTCAGAACCAGGAGCTGGACAAAAAGTTGAAAAGCCAACATGTTCCTGCTGCTACTGAAAAGGACAATGAGGATGACCAGAGCGACAAAGGTACTTACACTATTGAGTTGGAAAATCCCAATTCTGAAGAAATGGAAGCCCGTAAAATGATTGACAAGGTGAGATACTTGAAATGTATACTGAGTGGTATGCGATGTGTGGGCAACAGTCTACCAGTTCAGTTCTACTTGTTGAAGCTGCTGCAATGATACAAGTTTTCAAGCCAGTCTATAATGATGAAACACAAAATATCATAAAGCAGCTGCAGGCACTTGGCTAAGAATTATTCCTGGTACTGCTTTATTTTAGTTTGGTAGTTTTAATGCATTTTCAAAAGATTTAAGTACTGGAGGAATACTAGGCAACAGAACCCAATTAACTGATATTTTCATGAGAGTTGCTAGGTCTGAATTTATTATGTGCCAGTAGAAACATTCACCTGTTCTTAAAATCCTGTCATCTCTGTAGTTTTCAGTATATAAATTGGTTCCGTCCAAATTTTCATATACAAATACGTTGTAAATGTTTACTTTTTTTAGAGGTATATTCAATAAAAGCAACTTGCATTTCAGCATCCACTGTAAAAAATTAGTACTAGAATGCTTTCATTTCCTGAAAATGTCATTTTCATAGTTTGAATATAGTATGCTTCATTAGGCTTAGGAATCTTAAGATGACCAAGTAACTTTTGCAACTTGCTAACAATATAAATAACATTACAGATCATATTTGTGATTAAATAATTGCAAATTACTCTTTTTTTTAATTCAACAGAAGGTTATGAGTAGGAGAAGCTATGTTCAATTATTGAATTAACTGCCTCTTGAAGAGAGGTTTGGTTGTGGTTTTTTTCCCATGTTTATTGTTTTCCTAGATAATATGTTGTGGTAGAATGCTGGCATCCAAATGTAGGCAGCTTTTTGGCCGATTTAACAGGAAATTCACTGCTTAGTTGTTAAAGAATCATCTAAGGATTGATTTTCTGTGGCTAAAATGTTTTCAAATACATTAATACATTCAGAATGAATTTTAGCTACATGTTGAAAAAGACAAGGTAGCTTCACTGTTCTGATTTTGTAGAAAATGCTGATATAGGAAATGGAGAAATCTGTTATGGATTGGTTTATGATAAATAATAATTTATAATAAATTATTAAGAATAATATTCTTCAAGAGAGTTGCCTTCAAGAAAAGAATAAAATTAACGGTTTTGCCTCTTATGGATTCTGAAAATGAGATTTTTTACTTCTGTGAGTTAGTATTCAAAGAACTTCTGAGAACTAAAAGCATTCCAAATCAAGGAAGTTAATATTAACTTAATATTAATTTAATGATATTAAAGAATATCATTACTTTGACTTATTGACTGGAAATATCTACATTTAATTCTTAAGTCACAAATCTTCAATTAAGTTGCATTGGAAAAGGTGTAAGTTCTGTATTTGCTAAGTATAGTTGTGCAACAGGGTTTATTTGAAACCAGAAAAAATAATAACATGTGGAAATAGAGAATTTATGTACTTCATAAGAATGTTAATACTAGGATTTCAAATTATTTTCGGTCTTTAATATCTGTTCAACATATCTGCAGTCTTTTGTTTGAAACAAATCTCTTCTCTTACAGAAGAGATTCAGGAATAGGAGGTGAATGTAAGTGTAAGGGTTGGTAGTTAAGTATTGGTTGATATTCTTAGTGTTGCATAGAAAGCTTTTGGATATTATAAATACCCCTTACTGCTAACCTAAAAAGTGTCACCACTAGAAATTAAAGATTTGAATAGGAAGTGAAGCTGAGATTTATTTTTCATTGAGCTGATCCATGTCTATTCCCTTAGTATCCATTTTTATGGAGTGCAGAAAAACAGCCAGTGAAGAAAATCAAAGCCAAATGGAAGCCAAAATTTCTTTCACCAGCTGAGCTCAACTTTGCTTCCATCCTGTTTTAAATTGCTAATGCCATGTTATGTTGTTGAAGCTGGATAAGTGAGGAATAAGATAAGGGCTTTTATTAGCCTGTTGGCTGCTGTGCTGCTTTATTGAAGATTTAAGAGAATTATATACTTTTTATCGGTAATTCCAGTATAACCTCTCTTTCTTTGTTGGCAAGCCTATCCTTGTTCTGAGCAATTATGATGCCTCCTAAATTGAGTCCTGTTGAGGGGTGTCTGTTGGGTCAAAAGATAAACTGAAATTCAAGAGTTATATTTGCGAAGAGTTGTATTTTGTGAAGATACTTAGTCTAAGGCTTAAGGTTACGGCTAAGGTTTCCCAAGAGAGTGAGTCACACTGAAAGTAGTTGTTCAGTATTTTAGTCATTCTCATCCTTTCTTCCAGTAAAAGGGAGAAAATACCCAAACCAGGAGTATTTATTTCCACAGGAAACTCTTCAGGTAAACCAGACACAGATCTTAGCACTATTCTGATGGTTCAGACACTTAGGCAGAGTCAACCCTTTTCTGTGGAAGGGAACATAAGAGTAAACCACAAATGGAAGAGGGCCATTAACTTGTCAAAAATCAAGGTGTGATTAGTAATGCTGCTTTGATTTAAGAATCCAAGAGCGGTATGCAGGAAATCAAAGTTAAAATTCTCAGAAAAATTGAAAACAAAACTATATATAATTTTAAGAATAGAAGAGAAGTACCTTAATGTTGAGCTGTATTATTTCTGCAAAAGTTTTTGCTTAATACAGCCTTTTACTAAAGATTCTAGGAACTAGACTCAAAGAAAATAGATACTCCTGTGAAATTATTTTAAAAATTCGGAACGGATGCTGTCCTGCTTATTCAACATCTTGATTTCATTTGGTTTTCTCAGGATCCATTTCTTCATCTGCTCCTCTTTTATTTCTCTAATAAAAAGGTAATGTCTCTATAGCAGAAAAGGAGCAGAATAACGAACAACCTATTCATTTTTCTTCTTGACCACTTTAAAGCCTGGCTTTTAAAAAGCAAATATGGAAAAGAAACAAAAATAATTATAAGGAAATCATACAACATTTTCTATGTAATAAAGAAAAGCTTTTTTGTGAGATACTCCCTAAGAGAGAGGTGTAATAGTTTGTCGGCAGTAATGACTGTCTTGGAAAGAATGTCTGTTGCTTACCTAAAATGAAAGATTAAAAAAAATAAATTAGACAAGGTATTAAGATTTGACAGGCAAGGTTTCTGGAATAAAATCCATTTATGTAAATGCCCACAGAGACTGAACTGAGTAGGAAAAGAGAAACTTGTTAAATAGTTTGCAAATTTGCAAGACTTAAATAAATTGATTTTAGGGCAAAAAAATAAAGTACATCATAAAAATACTAAGCAGATGGTTTTCAGTTGGGAACATAAAAAAAAAAGCAAAAAAAAGCAAGGTCTATACACACTTGGAGTCCTGCAAAGATTGCTCCTGTATGGTTGTGTCTTAACAATCTTTATAAACAATGAAGCTTACTTTCTAAAAGTCGTTTCATTACTCAGTGATATTTCTGCATCCAGGTATTCAAATGTCACTGAAGTTCATAGAGAATTATGAACTGGTTAGTTATGATTGAGTAATAGATGCTGGCTTTTTTTCATACTTGCAGACTTGTTTATAAAATTACCTTTGAGAGCATTTTCAATGATGTGTAAAGAGGAAAAGCTTCTCTTACATACTACAACAACCACCTTGAACATGCCAGGCATACAATATTCTCTACTCAAATAGCTTCAGAAAGCCATAATTCTCTTTAGCAGAATAGTACTCTTGCAGTGGCAGCTAAGAGCTAAGCATAAAACAGTTTCAGGATCTTGATTTGATTTAGAACATGTTTTCAGTGTTATTTTTAACAAACAAAATACAGAAGTAAAAGGGGCACAGCTGTAGGCCTTGATTTTCCTTTACATCCAGCTGTTCTGCCTTTTACAGGCAGAGGTTCATGCCTCTGTTATTAATTTTCTATCTGATTTACATTTACATAATCAAATTTGGTCTATTAGAAGAGAGTTGTTCTCAGCAGTCGTATCAGTTTAAAATGTCCTTCTAGGCCACAGAAAAGGTAAGCCTGTCCCTGGATCAAAGAATTTAGAATGATGTTTCTTCAGTTCATCTTCCTTTTTGTTGATATAAAAAGACTGCAAATTATCAGGCTAATGAGTTTCTTTTTTTCAACAAAGCAAAGTGTTGCCAGTAATTTTAATAAATTAATGTGTTTGGAATATTAAATACAGTGAGGCTATTGCAATCAATAAAAAAGTTTTTTCCAAGTTCTTTGGGGGATTTTTTTGGGGTTCCTTTTTTGTTAGTTTTGTGGGTGGTTAGTTTTTATTTTTTCCTGCAGCCGATTTCATTTCCAGGTATTTCTGAATGGAAATACTTTGCAGAACTTAAAATGGCAGAGTTAAATCCTTTGTGCATGTGTGAGAAGGGAGGGAACAGAGTACAGGCCATACATATATTTCAATTCTCATTAACCTGGCTATCTAGGTATTCTGAAATGTTATAGCAGCTCATATGCTTATGGAGACATTGGTCTTAGATAGTTTTCTTTGGTCCCAACATTTTTTGCTTCAATAATGTTATATTCATTTAAATTTTGTGATACCTGATTTTTTTCTTCAGCAAAGTAATTTTAAATCTGAAATTCAGTGTTCTGATTCCCACCCAGAAGTAAAACTTTTTTAAAAGTACCAAAATTCAAACCTCAATCCATCCTTCTGCCATCTTCAAAAAGAATTATTGTGACCATTTAATTATTTTGTTTTCAATTCCAAGCTCTTACATTATGTTCCAGTTTATTTTAAATTGGAAAAGGATGATGTTTTAAAGTTCTTGTTTATATAGATTGACAGGCCATAAGAGTAACAACCTTCTTTTTAACATACGTGCTGTCATCTCTAGTTTTACTTGATTATCTGCTATACAAATGGTATACATGAAATATTATTCCACTGACAGTCTTTAAGAGATACCATTTTTTTCCTCTGTAAAATTAGGAATAACTAATAATTCAGGATTGAGAGCTGTGTTGGTGTTCATATAGGCACCAGGTTTTCTATATTTATTTTCAACATCTTTCTGCTCATTATGATACTTTCAGTTTGTATTGATTTATTTTTTTTTTAGTATATGTATGAAAGGGAGTATGTTC